TGGAAGAGAAAACACATAAAAATGCACAGGCGCAATCTGTAGAAGTTCAGCTGGAAAACACCGGCTCTTCGTACTCGCGTGCCTGGTTACCACCAGTGTGTTTGGGGGTGGTAAATGTTAAAACCAGTAGTTTCAAAGCTATTGGGCTGAATTTGGAAGATCTGCCGTGATGGTTTTTTACTTCAAAGCAAAAAGGTGATGGAAAACAGCAGCGTGTAGGGTTGTGACCCATGACCAGGGCTGTCCTGAAGTCTGGCATTCTGGAGCCAACGCAACGTGGCCTGGCAGCTGGAGTCGTAACCTGCTGGATTTCTTGCCGAGGGCTTTGCTGAGAGCCGGGTGACTTTTGAGTGGCCAGAGCCTCTACACCCATCTCTAGCCCGATTTACTAAATTGCATTTAGTAGTGGTTGACTTCAAAGTCTTGCAAATATTTTTTTTTTTTCTCTGTAAACCGCAGTTGCAGTAGGAGAACACACCTGGAACGTGTCATTACTTAACCTTCATTTGAAGGGTAAAAGGTTTTGTTTTCTGAAGGAGCACGCTGTGGAGGGTGGCCGGCGGCCCAGGTGCCCTCTGCCTCGGGCCTGTTAGTGGTTTGCTTTCAACTAGAACCCCTGGAAACTGCAGGTGACAGCACACGCTGTTTTCTCTTGTCCCGTAGTCTTTGTAAGTGCTTTTTGATTTAGAGCTGCATTTGGGTTCGCTTCATCTGAGGTGGGTGTGATGGTTCTTGAGGGAAAGTGGGGGTGCCTCGCTGAAAGCAGTGGGGTGCAGGGCTCCCCACACTCTTCCATTGCTGGAAGAAGTCTAGTGCTCCCCTCTTGTCTCCCTTCAGCGCAGCTGAGTGATTAAGCAGAAAAGTGGTGCAAGGACTGCCAAAACAGGGTGGGGTAATGATTACATGCATATGTGCAGAGCTGAAAGGCCTTTAATTATCAGAAAGCTTAATTGAATAGATGCTTGCATTGCAGTGCGAGGCAGGGCAGCAGACAATTGATAACTTGGCACGATGTTTGATTTCATTCTCTCTGCTGCTTTGTGCTAATGGTGTGGATTTGCATAACCATTATGGATAATATATAGGTTTATGGAGGGGAAAAATAGAAATGGAAAAATCATGACTCCTGATCATGGGTATGTTGCAATGAATCTTGATAGCACCTTGAGATAATTTATGCGGCCATCTCTTGTAAGATGCTGATTATTATGTTCCCTAAAGTCTTTGAAATCATTTCTTTCAGGAAGCAGAGGAAGATGATAGTTGTAAGAGATTTGAGCTAGGAAGGTGGCTGCTTTCCCTCCATAACATTCAAATGCTTGCTGATCTCTGAAGAGCTGCTTTTCATGTCTTTTTTTTTTTTTTCTGAATTTTTTTTTTGGTTACAGATAAAGAAAAAAAAATCCCTCCCACTAGTTCTATATCTTGACCCCTAACAATTTCGTGGTGATCACATGTTGTTAAACTCCTGTCTTCAGTAATGTAGTCTGTGAACAAACACCTGGTAATAAGTTGTTTCCCTTCCTAGTTATTTTTTAACTCAGGTTTTACCATCAAAGTGCACACTTGTCCCTGCACAGGGCCCCACCACCTCAGCGGGAGCAGGCCCTGAGCTCTCCTGTGGTTTCCTTAAAAAGCAAGTGTTCATTTTGGAACCAGAATTGAGAAGGGTCAGCTTAACCACAGAAACTCAAGCTTAACTTAAAATACATTTATGATCCACAATTCTTCTGCCCAGCATTGGCAGTCCAAGTACAGCACTGCATGGGCCAGAGGTGCCGTCGACAGTCCTGGTTCTGATACTCTTATCCCAGGACACCATTGCTTCTGCTGAGGCTCAGCAGTATTTCTGAAATACTGATGCAAATTGTGGTCATGCGCTCTGGATGCACGAACGTGGGCTGTATGTGTACGTAAGCTCTACCCATAATTTTTCTGGCAGCGTGGGGCCACCTTTTAATGCTTCTGTGCTTTTGTTCCCCTTTTTCTTAAGATGCCTCGGTGATACTCGCCTGGGTTTTAAGGTATGATAAGGAGTATCAGTGGAACAGAGATGCAAGGAGCTAGTTCTCAGAGTACAAAGATAAGGTAGGTTCGTGCCCCTGGGCATGTTTTGGATACTTTGCGAGGGAAGCAGATGGTTCAAGCCACCCAAGGTTAGCAGAAGGGAGTGTCAGTACTATTTTCAAATGTTTCTATTAATAAAAGCAAACAAAAAAATGCTTTTTCTTATTTTTAAAACCAAACAGAAACCCTTGTGGTTTATCAGGATTCCAGGCCCTAGAAATAGCATTTAGCATCGCCAGGGCTTACAGTTTCAGCAGTCGCTCAGGCATCTGTGAACAAAGGTGTGAATCCGGTGTTAACAAGAAATGCAAATATTTATGCTGGAAGCAAAACAATGGAACAGCAGATCCCCTCCTTACAATCCTCTTGTACAAAAAGATGCGAGAGAGCTCATCTTCCCCAGCATACTGTGCCTCTGAGTGCCGGGGGAGCAGTGCTCGCTAACCCCGCGGCGCCCTGGGGCGGCAAGGTGCACCCTGATTTCTCTGCTTCCTTTCACTTGTGTGACAGTTGCTTCCTCTGCCCTGCTCAGGGAATTCCTCTCTCCCTCAGCGCTTTTCCTGTGCATTACCAGTGTTCTTCTCTCTCTGGTCAGGAAGATGTTTTCGGTTACGCTTTAAAGCATTGTATTTAATACAAAAATACTATATTTTGGCAGATACGGTTCTCGTGAAGCAAGATTCCAGGGAGATCTGATGTTTAGTGGTGGTAGTGCCCTGATGGGCTGTTGAGAGCTAGTAGAGGCATTGCCTGTTAAGATGGCCTTTCTATTTCCAGGGCATGTTAAAATGTTAAGATAAGCTAAGTGTTTCACAGAGCAGTCTCTTTGCTATATGTACCACCTATACGTGCCTTATGGGTCTATGCAGTTGTTAACAAAGTGGTTAGGGGAACGAGAAGTAAGAATAGGTGTCCATGGGATTTTTGTTTTAAAACACCAACTTTAATTTTTCACTTACACTTTCACCTTATTAGTAAGTATTATGATTGCACCTACACTCCCTTTTTTATATATGACCTAGGGAAAAAATGGATGATAGGTCTGGGTCATGTCCCATCCTGTCCCGCCCCGAACACACGCTTCCCAGCTCCCATTTTCAAATTCTTCCTTTTGGGGTCTGGCTCTCAGGATCTCTTAACAGTAATATTTTGAGCTTGTTCAGAGGGGAGATGTTCCACTGATGTACTCTTACACATTTTGAGTAACTTATCAGATCAATTACAGGAGGTACTCCCAGCTGCTTCTAGGCTTTAATGCATTCTTTGGCTTTTGTTCAGCAGTTAATATGCTGAAGGCTTAGTAAGAAGCTACTGTTGTACAAAGCGGGACTCAAACGCTCTCGCTTCAGTCTTACTGAGGCATCAGAACTGCGTGGAAGTTCTGACGAGGAATTGAAGATCCGTGTTGAAAACAAGTGCATTATGTTTGGAAAAAGAGCAGGTAGCCGAGTCTTCCATCGGGTGCAGTCACAACAGAAAAGGTGATGATGGACTAAAAGGATTCCCTTGAGGGAAGCTGGTGATACGTATGATCATGAACAGGACTAAATGCTACGTCAGAGTGAAGCGCTGATTTCAGTGGGGATTCTGGAAATGGCTCTGTTCCGTGAAGGGTGAACGCGCTCTTCTGCAGACACGGTAAAAGTGCCTTGGTAGAAGCATGTATTGAAAGAGGTGTCATTAAAAGCTGTGTTCTCTGAGCAGAGCAGGTGAGGTCGGTATTAAGCGTCCTCTTTTGTGGCGAGAACAGCAGCATCAATTTTGTGGGTTTGGTAGGTTGTTATTTTTAATTTCGCCTTTCTGGAATTGCAACCGCTATGCTTTCTTTCTCCACTCAGACAAATTAGAAGCCTCTAGATGCACTGATGTAATGTAATTGAAGTCTATCGCTGTGGATCTGGGAGCCGCTCTGGTGTGAAGATGAGTCAGTTCAAGGCCTGTGTGTGCACGCACTCTTTTTTTTTCAGGCTTTGAACTTGATTTCCTAGTGAATTAATTGACATACAATTTAAAATTGTAATAAGGAGTCGAGCACAACATTCATATATGAATAAATCTACTGTATGCGGATTATTTATGGTTGGGAAGAAAAGTTGTGAATGTAACTTTTAAGCTCGAAGCCAGGTGTTGTTTCCTTCCCAGTTGAAGGTCAAGCATACCACAATCACTGCTGGCAGTTGCTTGTTTAGGCTGACAGTGGGTGTTAATAATAATTATTAGGTGCAGCGGAGACTCTCTCCTCTATTTTGACACTAATTACAAATGAGAAACATACTGCACTTTTATAGCCTTTTCTGTAAAAACAGTGGATGCGCTTTGTAGATTTATATTCTTAGTTCATGATACTAATTGTTACCCGCAGACTTCTGACTAAGGGTGAGTGACCTTAGCGAGCCGTTGCAGCATTAATGTAGCTGTGGGTCCTAGAGCATCCTTGCTTTGCTCCAAATCTCCATTGGCCTGACTATAGGACCAAGTACTCAGAATTTAAGTGTGATAGAGATGTACTGTTCTGCAGAAGTATAAATCAACTCGCATAGGCTGGTGCTCTTGAAGGGCTCATTTGGGGCAATTGGGCTGTAACTTTAGGTGTTTGAAACTGGCTATTTAAGGAAGTTTTTTAGAGCATCATAATTAGTTGGAACTTAAATAATAGCATATCTCAAGTTGGAAGAGAAAGGATCCATAAGGATCATCAAGTCCAGCTCCCTGATGTAGCTATTAATTTAGCAACATCAAGGAAGGAGCACTACAGTCTTTCCTTTTGTTGGTTATTCTTCCCAGCCAGGAGCTTGGATACGCACATAGAAGCCTACCATGGTCAGTATTGCTACAGCATGGTTTCGAGCCACGGTTTCTTTAATAAAATACCTTCTGTGCCCTGGCCTCTACCATACTGCGCTGTTACTTAAGCTATTAAGAAGCTAGTAAATGATAGCACAGTTTGTATGTGGAGAATCTTAAGTGCAAAGTGCAGTGATTCATGCAGTTTCTGTCTTCTGATCTTCAGTATTTATTATCTTCTGCAGTGTGTACCTGGGAGCTTGGAGGATCCAAAAACCGTGACACATCATAAGTTGATACATGCTACTTCTGAGAAGGTGCTGACAGACACAAAAACAGTGTTGGAAGAAAACATTCAAGATAGAGGTAGGATTGTCTGGTTTTTAATCCTAGCAGCCCAGAAACTTGAGATTGTGTTTAACTATTTGGCGAGTTCCAAACAGTAAACTTTTTAATATCTACTGTCTGCTTTGACATGGGAATCTAGTAAGGTGGCAAAAAAGGAAGGGGGGGAAAAACACTCTGGGTTTTTTTTTTTTTTCCCCTGGAGAAAGCACCTCGAGCAGTTTGCTTTTCTTCCTTCTTTCTTTTAAGAGTTGAAAAGGAATTAGCAGTGTTCATTAAGTTGAGAAGTTGAACAAATTATCTCCTTTTAAAGGAATTTTTTTAAACCTCCAGGGCGGCATTGATCCTTGGGAATGATTTGATGAATAGTTATCATGACTGAGATTTCCAGGGCAGATAACCCAGTGCTTTTGGGGGGGGGGTTTCTTGAGGTCTCTGGGTCAGGCAGAAGGATGTTTGCTGAAGTGTATCTGAGTGTCTGCAGTTTAGATATCGTCCTGTCCCCTGCAAATATAGGTCAGAATCCATCACACTGTAGTATCACTGACTACAGCAGAGAGTGTGAGGTAGGTATTTGCTCCTGAACTTTAAAGGTGCAAAGGATTAATGTGAAACAAAAGAAGATCTAAAGATGATAACTGGAGTCAGTTTCTACTAGGCAGCTTAAGCTAATGGCCCCTTCTGGAGATAAAGGGCAGTGGTGCAGAAGCTGAGAGAAGCAGGACGGCTGTGGACTGAAATATTGTTTGAACCAGAAACTCAGCAGGAGTAGAGTTCCTGGGCTTTTGCCTGAGTTCATGCAGGCTGGAGAACTGCTGCCATGAACATGAGCAGTTTGGTCTCTCTTCCAAGGCAGTGTCACCTATCACCTTTAGAGCTGAACAGGAGCTGAGAAATGCCATCTTAGGCAAAGGCGAGGGACAGCATTTTTGCTGATTGGTGGTGTATTATTTCTAGGCAAGGTGCCGGCTCCTACGGAGTTTTGAATTGCAGTTTGCAGCAGCTAAGCAGTATTAACTGTGCAGTCATAGTAAGCTGTCATGTGAATGCTTTTTCGCTCCTTTTCCCTCTGCAATGTGCTCTACTGTTCATGTGCCTTGCTTGTCAGGGCGATGAGATCGCAGCCAGCAGCTGATTGCCACCGGCTGACTGCACAGGGCAGCCAAGAGTCAGCATGTGGATCCTTTCACATTCAGATCAGCTGGACAAATGAGGGTTAACAGCCTTCACCAGCTGTTGCTCTTGGCTGTTATGTGCTGAGCCAGACCAAGGAAACTTGTTGTGCAAAGCATGCTTTATTTGCTTTTTATCTGCTTAGTACAATGGACTAAAAATTGCGTGTCAGGCTGTATCTGGCTGAAGGACTGCAGGTGCTGCACAGGCCCCTTTTGGGCTCTAAGCAGCGCGTCTGCGTTTTTCCACCCTTGGAATGTATGTGCTAGTAACTAAGGTGCTAGAAACTTGGAAAGCATCGCATGATCTCTAGAAAAAGGGTGCCTTGTAAGGGGAAAGTATTAGTCTTAAAAGCCCAAAGCAAGCTCGTGCCAGGTGATGTGGGATATCTGAGACGGAAGACTTGTTTGCCCTTGAGATTTGCCCTGGTGGGCTACCAGTGATGCATCCCTGCTGTAGACCGTGAATCACCGTTCACATAAAGGTGAGCTTCAGCCTGATACTGGAAGTTCTTTTTGAAGCGTGGTGCTTGCCTTGCTGCAGTTGGAAGGCCCCAGCTTAGACCAAAAACCATCCATGGCCTGTCTCTACTGCTTCCTTCTCAGTGGAAGCACTGAAAGGGCTGATGCTTTCTTACTAACACAAGCCAATTGCTGTACTATCAATGTATAACACAACTGGAGCCCGTAATGCCCTTTCTTTAATGGTGTTTTGTGAGAAGAAACCAGTAACGGTCAAAGCGTAACTAATAAAGGACCATGTTTTGAATTCACTGTGCACTAAGGGATTTCAAACACTGAAGGGGAGTGTGTAAAGCCGTACGGGTTTTAAAGTGTGAAAAAGCTCTGATGCTACAGTGGAATTTAGTACAAAATTCATGTCCAGGAAAACTTGCATTTGTGAAGTATCTTACAAGAACTGTTTTCACATTACTTTCTAATGTATTTCGGTATCATTCTCTTTCTAGATGTCTTGCTTTTGATAAAGAAGCGTGCGCCACCTCCACTCCCCAAAATGGCAGACGTGTCAGCAGAGGAGAAAGTGAGTTTGAAATACTTTTCAGCCTGGCCATTTTGATTACCTGCTTTGTTAATGATACGGGGAAGGATTACTGTAGTGTACTCTTTTTGTTTGTAGAGGCAAATGCTGCCAGTTAAGTTCTAGGGAAATTACTTCATATTTCCTCCAAACTTTGAGGAAGCTGATTTTGCATTTTTAACTTTGATTGTGAGCACTTAGGATAAGACATGCAATCTTTGAACAAATGTCTAATAACTGTATAAGTATAGTTCAGCAAGTGCCTTGCTTTATCTCTGTTTGAAACCCCCCCCAACAGAAGTATGTTGACTTGCTGGCAGGCTGTCTTCCATCTTTGGCTATGTGTGGCTTGTCACCCTCTAACCAGTCTCTAGAGCTGAAGTGTTGGCCCCTTACTATTCTTTTTTTAAATTTTATTTTATTGGAATGCAATTGTTACTGAGGGTCAGTGATGCCCAGGATGATGCTTACGCACAAGTGGTACTGCAGTTGGCGTGTTACCACATAAACGCTACGAGCAATGCTTGTGCTTGACATTGTGAATTCCTAGGTCTCTCTACTTGGTCCTTGCACAGCTTTGTTTCTTCTTGCTTCCTGTAGGTATTGGTGTATGTCTCTGTATCCCTTCCTGTAGGTATTGGTGTATGTCTCTGTATCCCTTCCTGTAGGTATTGGTGTATGTCTCTCTCTTCAGTATGGTCTTGCTGTGCAGAATGTCACTGTAAGAACATAAGTTATAAGTCTGGGAAATATTTATAGTTTGTACCCTGCTATGTTTTGTCCCGGACTACAAGCATGTACTGAAAATCCAAGGCACCGTATATCTCTGCATGATACTTGCAAGCGGCAAAGCACCTCCAGTGTTAAGCAGTTAAGTGTCAGTCTGTGCACAGTATTGGTACATCTCTCGACAAACCACGGGTTTGAGGAGAGCGTGCTATGAGCAGACCATGTGGAGCAGAATATAGTCCTGGGCACTGAGGCCTCTGAGCTCTCTTCTGTGTTTCATACATCACTTTCCCTCTTTATGCTGGAATTTCCCTGTGTGTTTAGATAACATAAATAAGTATAAGGACTGAAAGTGGGGCAACCCAACAGGTCCAGTTTTGCTCTGTAATTGCAAAATGATCCTGGTGCTGTTAATCCATTGTATTGCTAGACTGCTGTTTCTCTTAGTTGCAAGTTACAGAGCACTGCTTGATGCCTTGGTGAAGAATCTGAAACTGCTCTCCGCTGTGCTGTGTTCTCTGTTCTGTGGATAATGGGTTATGAAACCTGATCATGTTTCCTATCCTTCAGAGGAAACAAGAGCAGAAAGCTCCTGATAAGGATGCTATTCTCAAAGCAACTGCAAATCTGCCCTCTCGCAATGTAGATCGCACTGTGGCCCATCACAACATGAGGGATGTAAGTATTGGACTTGACTTCTTTTTTAACTCGCACACTAACATCCAAATAGCTTTTATCTTGTATAACTTTCTCTAACGTGTGAAAGTGATTCTCTTTTTTTTTCCTCTGTTAGAGAAATTCAGGTGTATATAACGTATATTAAAGTAGATAGCTTAAGATTTAGACACAGGTTGCTATTCAGTGATAATAAAACACTCTGTTCTAAATTACGATTTTACATGTTTTATTTTATCCATGGGAAAGCCTCAGTAAACATATTCAAGATCTGGCAAATGTGAAGTTAGGGGGTTTTATTTCTTCAGTCTTCAGTAGTTCAAGTGTTTGCAGGGTTTTTTTTTCCTCTTCCATGGTTTTGAAAAGAAAAATGAGGCATAAATTTTGACTTTGGTAGTTGAATGCTGACAGAGTCTGTAATGCTTCTAACTGCGTCTCCAGCAGCGTGGGGACTACTTTTACCCTTCTGTACTAGTAGGGGTGTGAAGCAGCAAATCTGCCTACGTATTGCTGTCAGAGTGCCCTGGTAACTTATAGGGGACAACTGGCATTAAGGTGTTTAATGGCCAGCATGACCTACCGAGCGTGGCATTTTTAAAAACAAATGTCCAGCTGAAAGGAATTAGTGATGCTTCAGTTTAGAAAATAGCTTTGATCTCTGCTGTTCCAATTGAGATTACTAGAAAGCAAAGGGTAGGCCAGGAAGGCTCGCTGGTTCACAGAAAGCAAGTAGCACAGGTATGGAGCTACTGTGACTGTCGTCTTACAACACTTCTGTAAGGTGGGACTCCAAGTGTTTCTGTGAAGCAGTGAGTTTCCTTGAACACTGCGTGTCTTGTGGTGGTACTGGGCGGCAAGCTGTGGTAGAAATAAAAGGACCTTTCTGCCCAGCAGCTTTCACTTACGAGTAGCACTTCACAGGAAAGGCCCAGTGCTTCTTGAGAGACTGAAAAATGAAAATAAAGCCCTAATAAAGCAACCTTCTGTACAGGGGGCCAGCCTACTGCTGAGATACTAACAATAGATACATTAAGATTTAATGATGTCTGGTAACTTCCCGTCTAAATGTTTTGACAGTTTCCTTTCTTGCAGTTCCAGACAGAGCTCCGGAAGATACTAGTGTCTCTCATAGAAGTTGCACAGAAATTGCTAGCACTGAACCCAGATGCAGTTGAACTGTTTAAGAAGGCAAATGGTACGAACATATCTTTATAGTTACTAGTTCAATCCTGGGAACTCGTTTGTTTCTGTAATGGAAGGGTGGGCTTGCAGAGTGAAGTCCAGACCTTAATGTAATAGCAAACCTACTACAAACTTTGTGGCAAAGATTTCACCTTGAGGGTATAGGTTGTATAAAACTTGGGAATTTATAAGGTCCCTTTGGGATGGATGAGAAATTCCATTTTAAAAATAAAATCATTAGTAGTGGAAAAAAATAGGAAAGCATCATGAGTTGCTCTTTAGGGATGGTAAAGAATAGTTGAAAATGCACAAGGAGATAGTAAAATGAGGAGAAAGTGTAGCTGTTGATTCAGATTGTGGGAAACGCTTGCCCTTGAGATCTGCTACAGCCAGGTCCAACTTAATTCTAGATAAATGATAAATAGATCTTCAGTTAATCTCCTATATATTTACTTATGTAGAAACACCATGGTAATGTGAGTTAGCTGTCTTCCGTTTGAGATCTTGGAACACATCTGGGCAAAGCGTTTGTCGTGGAAGAACCTATCTGAGCCTGACCAAGCTGAGTGCAGCAAACTAAATGATGAGACAGCAAATGCAGGGCAGAAACAAAAGCAGGGATGGAAGAGAAGAATGGGGTTTGAACTTAACGCGTGCCATTCCATTGAGAAAGGGGTTTATTTTAGCTTGAAGTCAATCTGAACATTGTTTTGTTTGTGTATGTGTAGCCATGCTGGATGAGGATGAGGAAGACAGAGTGGATGAGATAGCTCTGCGACAGCTTACAGAAATGGGGTTTCCAGAAAGCAGAGCTGTCAAAGCCCTTCGATTAAATCAGTAAGTGTACTCAGCACACTGCCTGTAAATTACTTGACATGGTTAAAAAAAAAAAAAAAAAAATTGCATCTTTTTCTAAAGTCTCCTTATGTGGGTCACCTAAAACTAGGTTGGAAAAAGCATTACCTCAAAGAACAGTGCTGCCTCAGGCAGCGGCGCAGGTGTGGATGGCACAGGGAAGGGGAAACAGTGCTGTACTTGCTCTGGAAAGAATAGCTGCTCTGCAGTTCACAAGGCTACTATTTCCAAGTATTAAACTCACACTTTCTTCCACTTTAGAATTCAGATTTTACAGAGAAAAAAGCAAACCTAGCCCATCCATGTTGGTCTTTCAGCTGTAGAAAAATACTTTGTGCTGATCTTTTAAGAGGATTCCACAAAGACTGTAAAGTCCACATAGCAACTGTAGGAAAATAGGAGGTAATGTAATTCTCATGCCTTAAGAAGAATCAGCTGTACTGACTCACTCCTGAGAGGGGTTTATTAGGCCATTCTCAAAAATGCCTGATGATACAGAATCCACAAAATATTCCAGTCACTCTTTTCCAGTATCTCTCCCTTTGGGCTCAGAAAGACTTTCTCCCCCGATGTCCTCCATCTTTCATGTTGTAACTGAAAAGCCAAATAGGCAAAGGCTTTCCTCTCCTTTCCATGAACATGTAATAATTCCCATGTGTCAAATGAAACTACATGTTCAGTTGCCCTATCGTTATCTTTCCTTCCCCTCTTTTCATTGGGAAGCGATGCGTTAGGGTGCTCTCCAGATCATGGTGATCCTTTGAGGGACCACAGATTTCTTAAGTCAGTGGTACCTGTCCAAGTGCAATGGCCTGTGTTGGATTTTGCTCTTGCTCAAGGCATATTGTGCACATGTAATATTTTTCACCCTCTTTCTTTCTTGTGGTGCTAATGGCATTCCTTGATCACTGGATGCATGTCTGAGAGAGATCTCCTTAAGAAGCAACAAAGCAGCTTGCATCTGAGAGGTGGTTCCATGTAAATTTGGAACATGCTTTGTTTGCAGTTTTGTCAACAGTTGCAAATAGTCAGTGTTTGTCTGTTGTGAAATAAAGCACATGATGTGGAGAATAAGGTGACTCCCTCAGAAATGCCTTTTAAAATCTGGGTTGTAGCTGTCCAAGTTGGACTTCATTCCTCTGTCTTCCTGGCTTCAGAGAAGACTGTGGTGTCCTGAATGCACAAGAGAATTAAGGTGCTCCGAGATGTGCTCCAAAACTTTATTTGTGACTTTTCGGGTACTAATTAACCTGCAAGTCAGTATACCATGAGAATAAAAACAAAGGCAAATGTGTGTGGAACACTACTGTACATCTGGAGCGTTCCTCATCCTTGTGTTTTAATTTGCTTTTCAGTATGTCGGTGACACAGGCCATGGAGTGGTTGATAGAACACGCAGATGACCCTACAGTGGATGCTCCGCTTCCAGGTCAGACTCCATCAGAAACCACAGCTGAAGCTGGTGCATCCTCTGCTGAAGCTGGTGCATCCTCTGCTGAAGCTGGTGCATCCCCTGCTGAAGCTGGTGCATCCTCTGCTGAAGCGACTGTGGGTCCTACTTCAGAAGCAGGTGGGGAAGAGGCCAAGGATGAGCTGACAGAAATATTCAAGAAGATCCGGAGGAAAAGAGAGTTTCGCCCAGACCCACGGGTATGTGCTGTTTATCTCGCCGTTTATCTAACTGTTAGGATTGGAAGGGACTGTGTGGGCACCGTGCAATTGAAATAAATGTTTAGTTAATAAATGAAATGGGACATCTGGGTAGATGTATATTATGCTGGCTTGACAGTATTTTAGTGGAAGTCTTTAGGGACTGTTTAAATTCAGGTTGCTGAAAGGGATATTACCTAATTAATGCGTCGCTGTCTCAGATAACAGTATCTAAATTACTGACGCTGTTACTTCTGTACCTGAAAATTAAGGATTTAAGTCTGGCAGCAAATGCAGAAGGTAGCCTTTTTTCAGAACACAGTATTAGCTGTTGTTATCACACTGTAAATTCACCAGGAGGTGCTCTTTTGAATCCAACGCTTTGCTTTTGCAGCTAGCTGTTTCTTGTGATTTTGGTCAAAAGCTGCAAATGTGTTTGACCTGGGTACAATTTCTAAATGATTAAACATTTTTGTAACAGTATCTAGGTACTCTTGTCTAAATGCATAATGCTCACTGGCAATATAATAATCCAGGAAGTGAAATTAAATTGAGTGACTAGAACTGCAAATGAAGGGTGGAGCTTGATCTGTCAGTGAGACGTGAACAAAAGCTTTGCGACATGAGAGAAGTCCTAAAATAAGGTGTTTCTGTCCTGCTCTTCTCCTTTCTACCTCAGGTACGCTTGCTCTTTGCCTTGTATTCAGCTTTCAGGGCTGAGGACAGGAATTACCTTTGCTCTTAAAATTTATTCTTCCATAATAAAGGCGCTTCTGATCTAGAGTATTTGAAAACTTTGTAGCTAAGATTACTTAGTGGTCTACGAGTATAAGCAATGGGGGTTTTTACCACACAAAAAGCTCCTGCACAGAAGGTGAAAGGATGTGATTGTTCTCATTTCTGTTTTAAATGTTACATTTATTAAGCTGTACAAATCTGATACAGGCTGTCATTGCCCTGATGGAGATGGGATTTGATGAAAAAGAGGTGGTAGATGCACTCAGAGTAAACAACAACCAGCAAAATGCAGCCGTGAGTACGATGTCATTTCTGTTCCTTCTTGCTAAAGTAGTCTGCTCAACTGATTCTCTTCATTGAATTGGTTGATGTTTCGATCTATCCTGAAGCCCAACTGTTCCTGAAGATGCAATGAGCACTGTATACTCTGTGCCTCTTTCAACAAGATACACAACTAGAATACAAAGGTTTTAGGCTTCTTAGAGGAGCTCAGCATGCATGAGGTTGAGGCTGATCTGGTTGGGATTTTCAAGAAGCTTTTGAGAAACTCCCTCACCGGAGTCTGCAAAAGAGATTATGCTGTCATGAGAAAGGAAAGGGCATTCCCAATAACATATAATTGATTAAAAGACAAATGGTCAAGCAAGACATTCAAGCCATGCAGTATGTAAATTATCATTCTGCAGCAATGTATTCCACAGTTTATGGAATCAAAAAATATGAAGGTTTTCAAAGATTGATTAGTCCCCTGCTAGTGGTTGATATGTTAAGGAAAATTATGTGGACACAGCTGACAGGGCAGGTTTAGGTTAGATATTAGGAAAAACTTCTTCACTGAAAGGGTTGTCAGGCTCTGGAATGGGCTGCCCAGGGAGGTGGTAGAGTCCCCAATCTTGGAGGTATTAAAAGAAGGATAGATGAGGTGCTTAGGGACATGGTTTAGTGGTGGGATGGCAGGGTTAGGTTAAGGGTTGGACTCGATGATCTTAAAGGTCTTTTCCAACCAAAGCGATTCTATGATTCTATGACAGCCAAGAAATCTTCTCTTCTTGAGCTGGCTACTGTTAGAGGATATTGGGCTGGAGGGTACTTCAGGCTGACGCACTGTAACCCTGTTGGTAGGGTTCCTTTGAGGCAGGACCTAAATAGGGTAACACGCATCTTCCCTGAGCTTTGAAACATCCAAAGTTGGTATAATTTTATTACCATACCAGGCACTGCTGCTCTTCCCATTGAACTAAAGGTGTGGGAATAACACACAAATGAATAGTCATCTGGCGTGAAATGTATAGCTCTGTCTTTGCTGTGAGAGGAAAAAATATTTGTAACGTGCCACACTGTCAAAACTTTTGAGACACTTTCATTCTGATGGAACCAGTGATGAAATCTGTTGTGCCTGGTGATTTCTTTCAGTGTGAATGGCTGCTGGGAGACAGAAAGCCTTCTCCAGAGGACTTAGATAAGGGAATTGACACCAATAGCCCTCTCTTCCAAGCCATCTTAGAAAACCCAGTGGTACAGTTAGGGCTAACCAACCCTAAAACTCTACTAGGTAAGTCCTGCTTGGGTTCCTAATTTTTATATATACATAAATATATATATGTGTACACTGTCTCTGCAGTTGCTAGCATGTAAGAGTAGAGACTGGATGATGACAGCACGCTTGGTGGGATAGGTGCAGCCCTGTCCCCTTTTCCTCACTTTCAGCAGCTGTGTTGTTTGTTTGCTTCATACTGCAACTCAGCTAAACCCAGCACAGAACTTGGGGCTGTCCCAGAACTGATACTAATTCCCCAGGCTACTGGATTACACTTGCTGAACTCGGAACTTTCATAGCTGCTGGCTGTGGATTTAGGAGACCTTTTGTGCACTCCCTTTGGCCACGGGGGGAAAAATCAGGAATGTCTGTCTAGAACTCTGATTATTTCACAGAAAAAACAAGGCTGTCTCCTGCTGTACAGCTTCCTGTGTGCCAAGGCCTGATCACTGAGGTGGAAGATAACTTGTGGAAGAGTAACCAAACCAGAAGTCTGAGCTAAGGCCTTGCCTATCAAAGTTGAGATAACGTATTTGAAAATACAGTTCCCTCTGCTTGGGTTTCAGCTCTGTGGTCAAGTCTGTGTGTTCGTGGTCAGGAGGGCTGTGAGCACAGCAAGTACCCAGCTGATGAGCCTGACAGGGAAACATAAATCTCTGATGAATTGGTCTCTCTGACGCTGGAGGACAGTACAGAAGAATGACATTGGCTTTGTAATGTATATAAAAAGTTTTGCATTTAGTGTTTGGCTTCAAAATTTATTTGAAGACTTGCTTTTAAATGAAGGGTGTATGCGCAGCTCTTTCAAGAGAGCTTTTAAAAAAACCTGTGTTAAATGTAATTAGGAGAGTTTGCAAGCCTTTAAATAATTCAAGAGCAGAACCTTCCCACCCTGATTTCTGAACAAATGGTCTCTTCGTTTCCAGTGAGGGTTTCACACTGCAGCTCAGAATATAAATAGAAAATGAAATGCCATTATATGTGCTTGTAAAGCTTGGATGAACATCAGAGAGTATATTCCTAATGATACATTGGCAAATTGCTTATGTCACAGATTTTAATAATGAATGTTTGCATTTAATTAGGTACTTACAGAATGTTGATAAATATTTAGTTTTAAGCTCTTGAGTCTGTGTAAAAGAATGTAGTTAAAGTGGTGAAAGGTGACCTGTACTTTATTCTGGGCTTTTCTGTAGGCATGCTGCATGACCTTGAGCAAGGTATTAATGATGAGCCTTTCAGAGGTGCTGGGTACTTACAGCTCCCACTAATGTCAGCTGGGGCTTTACACACTAACACTCCTGGGAAAATTAAGATGCTGACCTTGGTGCCAGTCTGCCAGACTCTTACAACACTGACATTTTGGTGACTTCTGAATAGGTCAGATGTGCAACTGCTTTTTTTGTCCTGTCCCATAATGACTGCTCCACATGTCCAGTAGTCCAGCTCAGTGTCTGTCACAAGGCTTATAAATTATTGCCTGGACCATTCTTCTGCCAAATTTGCAGCTTAGCTCTTGTAATAGCTGTCTGTGCAGTCGCTGTCTGGTTCCCTCAACGTAAGTAGAAGAGTGAAAACTAGCACACTTGAAAAAACAAACAAAACAACACAGCTTATTGTAAAGACAGCTGTGTATAGAAGGCAAAAACCACTTTAAAATATTTGGATCGCTGTCACTGTTCAGAATCAGAGGCAATTGTTCTGCACGGACAGCCTTTCCCCTTCTGCCTGTGTCTAGGCAGGTGGAACCGGCTGCCTCCCTGACATCCTCTACTCCCCAAACGCCAGGAAGGAGAAAGCACGTGCGGCTCAGAGGGAAGATGCTGCTTTCCCTTCTGGCTCCAGGGGCCTTGATGAAAAGATAGAGCTCTGAGATCTGGAGGCTTAAGGGGCTACGCTTTTGCTGGCTCTGCTGCTTATTCCTGGGTAGCCTTTGGCATACCTGCTGCTTACTTTGGCTCAGTTTTCTCTTCAGAGATGTTACGAGAGAGTAGCCATAGGACAGGCAAAGTGGAGCCTCAACGTAAGTAGAAGAGTGAAAACTAGCACACTTGAAAAAACAAACAAAACAACACAGCTTATTGTAAAGACAGCTGTGTATAGAAGGCAAAAACCACTTTAAAATATTTGGATCGCTGTCACTGTTCAGAATCAGAGGCAATTGTTCTGCACGGACAGCCTTTCCCCTTCTGCCTGTGTCTAGGCAGGTGGAACCGGCTGCCTCCCTGACATCCTCTACTCCCCAAACGCCAGGAAGGAGAAAGCACGTGCGGCTCAGAGGGAAGATGCTGCTTTCCCTTCTGGCTCCAGGGGCCTTGATGAAAAGATAGAGCTCTGAGATCTGGAGGCTTAAGGGGCTACGCTTTTGCTGGCTCTGCTGCTTATTCCTGGGTAGCCTTTGGCATACCTGCTGCTTACTTTGGCTCAGTTTTCTCTTCAGAGATGTTACGAGAGAGTAGCCATAGGACAGCCAAAGTGCAGCATAGGAAAGCAAAGGTAACAGAGGCAAGAGGATGACAGTGCTTTCTAGGAACTGTCTTGGTTAAAAGGGGGAAGAAGGTACTGGTGCAAGAACTAGCCATTAAGAAATCTAGGCTGGGATGTGGAAAATCTTCAATCAGAAGACTGGAGTTGCAGAAGAGTCTTCCCATAGGAGTATTGGCAGCAAACGATGCAGTTCTAAGATGAGCTTTCACAAATGGATGAATCTCCTAGCACGTTCCCTGCTACTGCGTGTAGATATTTGCTAAGGCTCTAGCTCTTCAAACCCATGTCCTTCTGTAAGATGGACTGTAATCCAGGCAGAGTATTTAATCACCCTCTATCTGCAGTGAATTTGATGCTGAGGAATGGGGAGGGCATAACAGCCCATAGCATCCCAGTCTGTGGAGGCTTACGAGTGCAAATGGTAAACGTATGATGATGTGTGCTCCTGCTGGTTTTGGGTGACAGTTGTGTGCTGCCTTTGAGTCACAGCTATTTCTAACTGTCCTGTTGTTGAAGCATCCCAGATATCGAAGCCTTTGCTGACTAAAGGACTAATTGAGTGTTGCAATTTCCATCTCTTGGCAGCCTTTGAGGATATGCTTGAAAACCCCTTGAACAGCACTCAGTGGATGAATGATCCGGAAACTGGGCCTGTCATGCTACAGATCTCTCGAATCTTCCAGACGCTGAATCGCACGTAGAGGGGAATGCCAGTCCACTGTGCCACTTCCTACTGTCCCCTGCTTCACCTTCTCCTCAACGGGAGGGCGCATGGATCGTTTGGGGAGGGGGGCGGATGGAAGGGGAGGGGGGGGAGATCCTGCCTGAATGGGTCTCTCACACGAGAGCTTATGTAGTTACGGCCAACTGAAGTTAATTGCCTTGTGGATTTAGTGTTAGTGGAAGAGGTTTGAAGACTTGTTTATGTTTTCAGGTATTAGGTTTAAAATAAAGTATATCAAAAAATAGGAAAAGGTTTTGTGAAAACAATTAAGAATCTGATTGTTGGACAGAAATATGATGATGCTTGTTAAAAAGGCCTGTGGCAGTAGTTGTCTAGCCAGTATTGCTAGCATCTGGCTAGTGTTTACAAAAAGTGACTGACCACCCTTTGCTGACTAAAGGACTAATTGAGTGTTGCAATTTCCATCTCTTGGCAGCCTTTGAGGATATGCTTGAAAACCCCTTGAACAGCACTCAGTGGATGAATGATCCGGAAACTGGGCCTGTCATGCTACAGATCTCTCGAATCTTCCAGACGCTGAATCGCACGTAGAGGGGAATGCCAGTCCACTGTGCCACTTCCTACTGTCCCCTGCTTCACCTTCTCCTCAACGGGAGGGCGCATGGATCGTTTGGGGAGGGGGGCGGATGGAAGGGGAGGGGGGGGAGATCCTGCCTGAATGGGTCTCTCACACGAGAGCTTATGTAGTTACGGCCAACTGAAGTTAATTGCCTTGTGGATTTAGTGTTAGTGGAAGAGGTTTGAAGACTTGTTTATGTTTTCAGGTATTAGGTTTAAAATAAAGTATATCAAAAAATAGGAAAAGGTTTTGTGAAAACAATTAAGAATCTGATTGTTGGACAGAAATATGATGATGCTTGTTAAAAAGGCCTGTGGCAGTAGTTGTCTAGCCAGTATTGCTAGCATCTGGCTAGTGTTTACAAAAGGTGACTGACCACTAGCATAGGATACTACTCATGTCCATACAGTATTAATTTATGGCTATATCAAATTAGAAAATGCTCTTTTAAAAAATTGATTCTTAGGAAATGTTTTTTAAAAGTCCAAATACTGGGAGAGCAAGCACATTTCTATCCAAATGTGTTTATCTTGCATTATAATTTAAACAGAATAATTCAGAGGTGGAATTCTTTTAATAAATAGCATTACTTTTTCCTATTTATTTTCTGCGTTAGTGTTGTTGCAGTCCCACAGTGGTTATACTTGTAGGAGGTTCTCTGTCAGCTACATTGAAGGTGCAGTATCTCTCTCACGATAGAATTTGCTACACCAAGACGTGGATTCTCAAGTAGGCTGCAGCTCGTAAGTTCATACTCTGCCCTATCCTAGCGCAAGGAGGGAATATATTCACGTAGTGGGTGTTTTCCATTTTTGTGTGCACGGTTTCGGAAAGGGAGACTTGCGGGTTTTTGACTTTGTTTCAAACTGTTCACAAAAAAGCAACAAATTTGCATGGGTTCTTCATTGGTGATCTGTGAAGAAGCAGAACCGCTTAGGTTTTTGTCTTGTTTAAGGTGTTTAAAAGCACGCTTGAAACTATTATCATCTTTGAGATAGAAGTGGGTTTTCTTGACGCTTATTTTTACCTTGGGAATACCAAGAATGTCAGGCTGTGGCTTTCCTTTTTTGTTAGAAGACTGACTTGAGATTTCAGACAGGAGTTGTGAGCTTTTAAGAGCGGAACTCACTGAATAGCCAGCTAGTTTTTGTTATGATTGGGCTCTGCAGGAGTTACTTTTTTAACAGTCTTGAACAAAAAAATGGTCGTTGTTTTCAAGCTAGTGAAACATGACTGACATCTGTCATAATCCCTGCCATGTCTTGCATTTCACGGTCCATTTTTGGAAAGGCGAGCTAGGCAAGACCTGCCTCTCCAAAATGCAGAGTAATCAGATGGAGACCCCGTTCTTAAATAGCGCAGAGGTGTCCTGTCAAGCAGAGAGGTCCTGAAGAGCTCTCCAAGTCACCTTTTCAGGTGTGGGGGGGGGGTTCTGTGCAGTTGGGTTTATTAAACAAAAACGTAACAAGATGCAACCCGAAACCCTACAACAAGTTTTGGCCTGAACTTGGCATCTAATCTATGCTGTTATGCAGTCAAGGCACTGAAGTTGCCAATTTCATGTAATTAATATGAAGGGTGGGGAAATCAAAACAGCATGAGATTTTATCTTGACTTACTATCCCAGGATATTTTTTTTTTTTTGTTATTTGTAAGTTCATGTTAAGCTTTACAGTTCATGACTGCTGAAATATTTACTTCTACATTTAGAAATTCCAAGCTTTATAGAGATGCTGCTTCTGTTCAAATTGGACGGTAAAACCATTTTCCTGGACTCTTGCTAAGAACAGATTGACAGCCTGACATTAAGTTGTAACCCCATCCAGTAACTGTAAAAGCTGGGAGCCTGATCCTGCAACCCAGTGAGTTCAGCACAGCTACTCATGGGTAGTTGTGACTGAATGGTGTGGTGTTATGAAAGGTTTGGATTATTTTGTTCTTTCTTTTTCTTAATCCCTGAAGCTTTTTGCCTGTAATGCTACCAGAGGACACTATTACTTGAAGCTCTTTAAAGTTTAGAGGTACAAATCCTTCTCTACCAATCAGGATTCTTGTAAATGTTCCTTTTAATGAGTGTTTTTAGAAGACAAAGCTGGGGAAAACTACCCTGCAGTTTGGTGGGGGGGTTTGGCTTCTGAATGAATAAGTGCAGGTTCAGACTTACCAAACAGATACTTCGGTGGCAGCCTTGGTCTTCAAAGAATGTGAAGGCTTGTTGAAATGCTGCTTTGGATTTCAGTGATACATGATCAGCCTCTGGAGTGGCTGTAGAGCTTCCAGACAGACCAGACAAGGATCATCTGGTAACTTTAGAGTCTTCTAAAAGTTTGGCATCTGGTTTGCTGGCAGAACCTGGGTGACTAGCCACACGGCAAGAGTGAGCAACCTCTTGCCTGTGCTGGCACGGGAGGAGCTGCCCCCAGGACTGCCTGCTGCTGCTGCCAGGGCAGTGTGGATGAGGAGCTTGAACCAGCTCCCTGGCTTTTAGGGGCTTGAAGCTGGGCGCATTCCTGATACGCGGTGTCTGACCTGCTTCAGAGCAGCAGTCGTGTGCTTCTAGGGGGAAAGGTTCTGCTGCTTGTGTATCTCTGCATCAGCCCCACAGCAACGGGATCAGAGTGTGATGCTGCCAGGACCTGCTGCTGAACTGTGCGTGTTCTTCGGTGTCAGTTTGATCAGGGTGATAAAAGTTATGAGAGCTGCCTCCCTTGGCATGCCAGAACAGAACCAGTGCCACCAACCTTTTATAAAGTGAGGAAAAAAGCATCAGTAAACCAAATCATGCTTCTGTAATAAAAGAAGGTAAGAATGCCCAGGTTCAACAATGTGTCCTACTGTCGTGGCAGCACCTAGAGACCTTTAGGGATAAAGGAATACTGCATCTTTAAAGTGCTTGAAGGCTTGAGAATATGTGGTTATTTCTGGATTTTGTTATTCCAGAGCTCAACACTTACACAGCTGAAGTGTTGGAGACTCTGTTCTTCCTCATCTACCAAACAGTCCTCTTGCTTGGTCTGGCTTTCACGTAGTCCTGCTGGTCTTCTTGAGAACTGAAGTTTCCAGTGGCCAACAGATGGAAGAGGGCAGAACTTCAGAGGTGTGATGTTCACAGCAAGGCATAGGACGTGATTTAAAACAGACAAAAACTACCCTTGAGGTTAAACAAACACTGAGGAATTGATCAAGACATCAGTGGTGGTGTTAGGGTATGAATTAGGCGCAGGCTAGGGAGCTGCCTGTCCCCATCACACCTGGGTGTAACTGCTGCTTCATCACCGTAAATGGAGGGGGAGTTAAGTCCCCTGTGCCTGCAAAGGTGTTGATGACCCCAGTTTTTACAAAATCTGCAAAACATGGAAAGGTCACTGCTTATCGAGTCAGAATGCGCAGGCGGGTCTCCAGGCACAAGGAGTGTGTTTGGGAAGAGCTTTGCCTGGCGATGAGCTGTCCTGTTCCGTGGCTGAAGGGTAGAGGACTGACAGATCTGGCCTGCAAGCCCATGAGAGGTCCCTAAGCACATGGGAATAGAAGGGTTTGGTTAAAAAAAAAAAAACAAAAAAACAAAAAAAAACCCCAAACATTTTTGTGAGGAAGAACTACTCGCAGGAGTAAGGATTTACAGGTTCAAGTCCTGTGCTTGCATCTCTGCTGTTCAAGTTATAACTAGCAAAGACATGTCATGTCTAAGTGTCTCATAGCACGGTCAAGGGAATATTTGGAAGCTGTGAAATCAAGAAGTAAGGAAACGGGGTGGTAGGTGGCTCATACAACTCAGTGACTACTTCTTACAGTTCTGGCTCTTTGCCCCGTCAGTTGATACAGACAATCTTCTACCTTTTGATATTACATGACTCTTGAAAGCTAGCTAGGTATTTATTTAAATATATGTAACTTATAATTTTGTCATCCAAACGCTGATATTTTTAATAGAAATGTACTATATGGAAGTTTGTTCTCAGGGCTTCGAATTTATACTCTCTTTATGGGGGAGGCGTTTAGAGGGAGGTATTTGGGGAAAAAAAACGCCAGTGGCCACTTTACAACTTGGACCTTGATTGTCTTGACCTGTGAGACCGAGCTAGCGTAACTCCCCAAAAACACCCCTAGCGTCTGGTCCAGTCCAAAGAATCTGCCAGTCTTTCTCTCCTTGTGAGCAGTGGCACGAGTCTGCCCTTACGATCGCTGCGTCACTCGACAGAAATGGTCACACAAGATTATCCAGCTGCTTCACAGTTCGCTGATCTTTGCACCATTTCAAGGACGCTTCTGTTCTCCATGCAGCTGGAAAATTAACTTGCACGGTTTCTAAAGCAGTCATCAGCGCGCTCCTCTTCTGGGATGGCGCAAGGTTCGTTCCTGCGAGAGCTCTGAAGAGTGTGATGCTGCCAGGACCTGCTGCTGAACTGTGCGTGTTCTTCGGTGTCAGTTTGATCAGGGTGATAAAAGTTATGAGAGCTGCCTCCCTTGGCATGCCAGAACAGAACCAGTGCCACCAACCTTTTATAAAGTGAGGAAAAAAGCATCAGTAAACCAAATCATGCTTCTGTAATAAAAGAAGGTAAGAATGCCCAGGTTCAACAATGTGTCCTACTGTCGTGGCAGCACCTAGAGACCTTTAGGGATAAAGGAATACTGCATCTTTAAAGTGCTTGAAGGCTTGAGAATATGTGGTTATTTCTGGATTTTGTTATTCCAGAGCTCAACACTTACACAGCTGAAGTGTTGGAGACTCTGTTCTTCCTCATCTACCAAACAGTCCTCTTGCTTGGTCTGGCTTTCACGTAGTCCTGC